TTAACACAAACACGCATGCCAACCAGGCAGCTGGCAATCACAGGGATAGAGCCCTACAATGTGGCAGTGCTAAACTCCAATTTATGAATAAAGTTTTTTTTTAACTTCGTTTTGTAGCAGAGGCTGTTTTCCATCATGATTAGTTTCGCTCTTACCAACTAGCCCAATCTACCACCCTACTTCAGCTCATTATGGGGGACTAGTTACACTTGAAGAATCTGCAATGGCAAGATGAATGCTAGCGAGTTCATTTCATTGCCAGAAAATTGATGGTGTTGTCTCAAATGGTAACAATGCACGCTCATGAATGAACTGTGTGAGACCATCAAAGTGCGGGCAGTGACTTTACTTGATATCTGGGGACTGAAAACAACTGCCTCGGTCTACTCTTAGAGAGAACCATAGCGGTGGTCAAGGAACCGGTACAGCAACACGAGCCCAGATTACCTATGATATGTAGGTCTTCCATTCCCTTTGTAACAATATACAGGACACCAGATTTTGGGTCAGTACTTGTATTTCAGCATCAAAATACACGTAAAAATATGTTCCTGGTCTCGCAATACATTCAAGGGAATAATGTATCCCATTACATTTTCAACTGGGCTTGCCATGTCATCGTCCCAACTACCGAAATAGTTATCCTCTCCAAATGCTTCATCAGCTTGCACAAGCAGCTGACACCAGTTGAGAACAAGCTAAAAGGTTGTGAGGAGATACTTCGTAAAATGGCAGGACGGCGGCTTGTGATACTACTAAGCCAGTTTCCTTTAGACAATATAACATAAGGTTATCATATCAACCAAGTATGCCTCCACTGTGTAGCCCTCAAGCTCGGTCGGGGATGCCAGGTTTCTTTGCTTTGCAGTTGCACGCTCGCACAAAGCTCCACCGCTTCGCCCGACATGCTTGTATGAAGCTTCATACTTTAACGCTACAGCACTATGGCAAAGCATCTTAATTTTTGCAGGGGGGGAGGGGGGGGGGCTCAACATTTTGCAGACCTATTTTCAGACTTCGAAAACATTCAAAATTACCGAATAATCCTATTCGATTCAAAGTATGAATCGAATACGGCATTATTCTATTCGATATTTAAAAATTATGAATATTTGCACAACCGTAGTCTTCAGCATTATTTACAATTTACAAGGAAGCTGGTATCATGTCTACATTTCACGGGATCTTCCGGGGTCTTTTGTTCAAATCGCGATTTTAAACTTTTCGACTTTGACCCAATGGAGACTACCCATCTGCACACTCCGCAAGGACAATTCACTGAGGCGGTCATTGGCCATCATTGATCAAAGTCTGTGTTATGTCATTTTGGGCCTACTGACAGAGTGTTCACCCCTGAAGTTTGCAACCATAACAAAATAAAAATCTAAAATGGGTACATGAAGACCTAGAAATGAGCCTCGAAGCTTTTCTCAGACTACAGTTTTGGGATGTTTCTTACAGAAGCCTTCCTTTTTGGCAAATAAAAGAAACTGTTCTAGTTCATCGGGGAAATCGTCCGACAGACCAGATTTATCCATAGCCTGGAATCACCACTGTTTCAACGAAAGTGTGCCGTGGTCAGCAATAAAAAGTAAACTGTAGGCAGACTTTGCTGTAAGCAGTGAAACGAGTTTTAAGTGAATGCAGAAGGTTGTCAATCATGCCAATATTGGTACCACAGTGGAAGTTCAGTGAGGCATCTTGAGGGTGAAGGTTGCCATTTGTGCCGATCGGTTTGCTTTCTTTTGATTGTTGCTTTGTATGTAGTTCCCAATGTTTCCTTCGCTGCCTGTTTCATTTCACTGAATCTTTCTCCTAGACCGGATACATAATCACTCAATAATTTCGTCAGGTTTACAGCTTCATTCAATGTGAGTGGCTGATTATGTAGCGTTCTTCTGATGGCATTAAAGCATTGCAACACCCTGTTTATGAACTAAGCTACAACTGTTGCAGTCATACCCATAGTCTTCAACCATAACCCATGTCTCTGCTAGTTCTTCCTAACCTTCAGACCCTCAAGGCGACCCTAATTTCCTGAGCGAACAGAGCTTCATAGCATCCGCTCGGGCTGACCACCACGTGTCTTGGAGTCGCATGGGCATGAATACCGTATCATTCCATTTCAAATCAAGCCTGCAGAATATTCCGGCGAAGGGTAGACGCAGAAAAAAATTTATATACGCTGTACGCAATGGTTAACACAGACCACTCTGAGCATTCTGTGTCGAGCGCTCTCGTGCCAATGCCAGCTGCTTTTGATTCAGCAATGGCCAGCGGTTGTGATCAACCTGGCCGTGTTCCGAAATTTACCCAATCTCACTTTAGAGTAACAGTGTCATACCTTGGTGTTCGAAAGCCTTTTTGCATCCAGCGTTGCTCAGCTTGAAATGTCACGTGATATGACCCGCAGGAGTAGCTGGGATCCAGTCGAGTAAGGTTTGGAACATGCCCGCTGTCAGGGGGGGATCATTTGATCCCCCCCTGACAGCATTTGAGCAGTTAAATATGGGTAATCTCGGCTTGCCCCTGAAGCGAGGAAAGGAATATGGTGAAATGCTGGCCTGTTACATGCAGGCGCCAATTGTTCCGTTTGATTTTAATGCATTATCCGGCACCTTGACTCAATCTTTACAAACAAGTGTTCTCAAACTTTCTGGTGACAAGGAATCCTAGCAATCTTCAAAAGGTGCTGCACCAAGCACGTCATGCTTCGCACCATCGTGCTCACAAAAGTTTCAGTGCTTTGCTCCGCCACGCATGCATCGCGGTTCACCGCTATACACCGGTGCGTTGCGGCGGTGTATAGCGGTGAAAAAATACTTTGAAAATATTTAAAGTTGCCGAATACTCCTCACCAATTTAAAGTGCGAGTAGAATATGGCGTCATTCGCTTCAATATTCTGAATTTTAGAATATTTGTACAACCCTAAAATATGTCGTAAAGTAACGCTCAGGCACTCTCTACAAATCCGGAGATCATCGCAAAAAAGTGGGAGATGGGCACTTGATATGCTATCAATGTTATCTATATTTCCACTGTCCATATTTTTTTAGATGTTACAACATTCAGGGGTGGGCGCTTAGTGTGGAATCGGCAGATGCTCGGTATTTCATGGTATACATAGCATTTGAGTACAAATATACAGTTCCTCACTTTCCCATAAAAAAAATGAAATATATATTTGGGTGCTTGCGGAATCCAAAAGATCAGCCTATGGAACCCGGTTTGGGAACCCCGGGTATGTAATCTGCACCAGTCTGTAAAGAGCTTCTCAAAGCAATTTTTAAGAAAATAAAACTGAACCATCTAGAATGGCCTAAGCTGAAAAAGGCTTCCAAATATTCTGTTTGTAGCATTCATAATTAGGCACTGAACTTTTCGCTTGATGCTTTGATTGACTTTGTTTCTTCTTATGGGAAAAAGTGCACATCAACAATGACACTCAGCGACATGGTTCGCAAGCTACCCAGCCAATGGTGTGCAAGCTTCCCTATCAGGGACGGCGCCAAGGGAAGGCGAGGGGTGGCGGGCGCCTCCCATAAAATTTCTTCTGCCACCCCAAGATGAAGCCGCTTGGTACACAAATAATGGCCTATGACGTCGGCTTGAAAACCCAATGTAATGAATGTCCAGACTTTAGAGCTGTTCATGCCTTTTATTATTTTTTTTTCTCTATTAACTTCCAGCCACTGCAAGTCATACCGTGGGCGAGTAAGCTATCTAGCGCCTTAGAAAAAGCAGCTCCCCTTTGTGACGCCTGCTGGCTTAGCTCCGCATTCCGCTGTGTGGCGCTTATCTTCAGCGGAGACCGGAGACGTGAACGAAGGGGAGCTTAGTTAAAGTCGAGGTCATGAGGAATTCCGGACTGTCTAAGAAAAGGAAGCAAAACCTGGTTGTGAGTCATGAGCACAGGGGGCAGAAGTCAATGCTGTAATAACACCCCCCCCCCCCCCCCCCGCCTCTTCCTTCTCGTGTCTCCTCATTTCCCTTTTCAATGAGCACACTGCATAAGCTATAAGCTATCTTCGATAAGCCCGTGGGCGACGGCACCTCAGAGCAACCCCCCCCCCCCCCCATTTGGTTGGCCTCCCCACTGCCCCCCCCCCCCCCTTATGAAGATCCTGGCGCCATCCCTGCCCCCTATAGTTGAAATAGTATTAAAACAGCACAAAAAAAAATGAAGAGAACACAGACACAGCACTCACTTACAACTGAAAATTTTTCTTTTGCATGGTACAGTAAGTAAACATAAAAAGAAGCAGATAGATACCATTTCAAAATGACCAACCAACTAGCCCAACTACACAATTTGTTGCAGCCCTTCTATGGCCCTGAATTCGTTCCTTACCATGAGAAAAGTGATGATGTTTCAAGCATCTCTGCAGATTCCTTTATTTCTAAAGCTATTTGGCATATACCACAAAATCCCGAGGTATGTACTTCCCAGTCAGCAACATTCACTTGTATCCCGCCACAGCTAACTAGCTGCATTTGTGCCGAGGCCATCACTGATCCCAACACTACTATTGCTAGAAGTGGGCTATCTTTCAGAGTTTAAAAAAATAAAGCAAATCAAGCCAAAAATAGGAGTGAGCTACCTTTTGAGATTTTACAGTAGAGCATTGTGACACATCAAAATGCAGGCACTGAGATGCTCTTTAGAAATAAACCAACTGAATTAACGCATCAGAAATGTTCTTGTAGAAAAGCTCTTCATTCTAGCTCATATTGGCTGGGATTGCACATAGGGGAAAAGGGACACTAACTGCCGAATTCACAAACCTTTATTCGAATGGAGGCACCCCCCCCCCCCCCCACACTTCTTCAAGGAAGGCACAAGGGACGGCACTGGCCAATCGCGAGGACGGCTAAACAGCCTAGGCCGCCTATCCGTCGTCGCGACTGGCCAGCACCGGCCCTCGCACCTTCCTTGAGGAAGTGGAGGGGCGCCTCAATTGGAATGAGGTTTGTGAATTCGGCGGTAACTTAGCTAGTGCTAAGGTCCGGCAAATTGGAGACATACACCTCCCCACTGGCCACAGGCTCCACCTGTGGACTTCGAAACGTCAGAATGGGGCACACCACCCACCAAGGATAGAATTACCATAAAGTTTTGCAAATGCCTTGCCGAGCGCAAATTCAAGGCGCTGGATGCCGCGGACACGGCACACGTTGTACTGGTCGGTAGCCAGCTTGTCGAGGTTGACAATGTTGCCTCGGTTGAGGAACAGGTGCTGAAACATCAGCGAATGAATTAATTAATAGCATAAAACAAAGCTGGGTTGTGACCACTCCTTGGAACCACACAGGACACATGTGTCTAACTTGGAAGCAGTCAATAAACATTATAGGTTTAGGTAGGGGTCAGTATTTTAGACCTAATTGTGCAGCTATTTTTTTGTGTGCGGGTGTGTGCGTGCAGGGGGTGGGGGTTGTTAACTCATTGCAGATGTATTATGGGGCTGGTTGCTCATTATTGGGGTCCACCTTCGTTTAGTCAGGGGAGGATCTAACTGTAAACACAGACATTAAGGTGCAGTACTTGGGCTCGCCTTCCGAGTTAAATTTCTGTTTTCCTTCGGGACCGGTTCTCGTGTGCCGAGTTCACTGTGATTTTAAGAAGTGATTTGGATAGTTTCTTATCAAAAACGTTTCAGAACTTCCCAATGCATAGAGGCAGTTTCAAACTCAGTCAGAGTTTAAAACTGCCTTCTATACATGTTACTTTCACAAATTGTATACTCCTTTTTAATCTATCTTGTTATATTCCTGACATAATTACCTATTTTTTGGATTTTCAAACTTTCAAGGAACTTACTGTCTACAACTGTATCCATCGCTGAGTGCTTATAAAAGAACAGATGTAATAGAATACATTTCACTAAAAAAGAAAAAAGTAATTTTCTGGTGTATATTAACTGATAAAAACCAAATATTGGATTTTGAAATAAAAACCGATAAATGTATGCCGAATTCGAAAAAAAATAAAAACCGAAAACGCTGATCTTGTTCAGTGTTTTCGAAGGTAATTTTTTTTGCTCAAATTTGGGGGTATTTCTTTTTCGGTGTTTAATTTTTCCCACAGATTCTGTGTTTTTGTATAAATTGGTTGAAGTCATAACCAATTTACACAAAAAAAACGAATCTGCACAAAAAATTACCGCCCCCCCCCCCAAAAAAAAAAAAAAAAATTTGAGAAAAAAAAATGCCCAGAAAACACAGAACCCAAGTTATCGGTAGGTTGTGACTTTCCAGTTTTAACCTAAAAATACTGAGAAACATCCGCCGATGACGAAAATGCAAAATTGGTTATAACAGAAAAACACAGTTTTTGGGGACGATTTGGCGCGAGGCGATTACTATTTTGGTTGAAATCCCCGAATTCTAGGCATTTGCTGAGCCTGTTTTGTTACCAAGAATTAAGCAAATTGGGGTTTCCAATCAGTGGGATCGCTGACCTTGGAGGACAAGGGCCCGACTCGTCAGTCAGAAGGTTATTACCAACAGTCACAACGCCCTTGTTGATTCATGTCAGAGGACGACAGATAAGGAAGCAACTTGTCCCAAACCAATTTTTTTTTCACCGATCATCTCTGTTTTAGCGTCTACATCAGACAACAAGTCGAAAGCAGGGTTGTGCAGTATCGCAATACAAATGTATTGCAATAGTATTTCAGAAATACATTTAGTGTCTGCAGTTCTGTATTGCAACACTTTTTTTTTCACCAGTATCTGTATTTCTGTATCGAAATGCATTTGGGATGTTTCTCGGTACCGCAGTACAATCAAGATGGGATGTATTTCGTTACATTTCTTGAGAAATAACCCCCACCTTTGGATAAAAAAGATGACAACTTTTTTGTTTTGCTACAGAAGGCCAGAGGGCATTATGAGGGGTATGTTGTGCCTTTGCTATTATGCGAACCTAGGTTTGACCGGAACTATTTGTGTCGGATTTTAGCAACCCCTTTCTGTATTCTGCAAAACTGAAGAATGTTTTCCACCATGCTTCTTCCCCCCCCCCCCCCCCCCACACACAAAAAAAAAAGTCTGGACGTCTCTTTTTTTTTTTTTTAAGGGGATGCTGGGGCATTGTTACTATGCTGACCAAGGTTCATTCCAATTCCCAGAAATATTTGTCTATGCGACCTCTTTTCTATTCTGCGAAGATAAGAAATGTGCTGTGAGTGGCACATTTCTTAATAAAAAAATGTGGTTCCCAGCTGTGAAAGCAATGTTTTTTTTTTATTTAATATGAACCTGTATTCCTCAACAACTGTTGAGCAGCTATTTTTTTTTCTTTTGCCAACATGACGTTGCGTTTGAATCGGCAACGGCTCACAGGTGGGCTATTTGAGAAGCTCCTGCTCCTCAAGTGTAACTGAGTTTAGCACTTGCATGTTTTTCTTTTGTATCGCTTCAGTGTAAAATAACAGACAAAGCAAGAATGATTTTTATTGCACCTCCCAACTAATTTGTTGCCTATGATATGACAGTTGGCACCTCAAGCAAATTGGAAAAATGTATTTTAATATCTGTATTTCTGCCATCCCTATGAGGTATTCCTGCATTTGTATTTACAAATATGTTTTGCTCCTTGTTAAAATGTATTTCCGATGCATATCACAATACATTTTTACATATATATTTTAGTATCACTATTTTAGCTATTTTTATGTATCCCAGCATTTGTATTTCCAAGTACATTAAGTATTTTGACCCAACCCTGGTCGAAAAACACCAATGTTTGAAAAATAAATAAACAATGAAAAACATCCGCCGATTTTTCTCATAAACAAACACCGGGGGATATACGGCCTAGTTATATGTTATTTATATTTACTAAGTAAAATTCATTTTGCTGTGTTTGTGGTATTAAAATAAAATCAAAACCCAATGTAGCTCCTTAATGTTTTCAATTAATCAATAAACTAGAAACAAAAAATAAAGCCTTTTTTTTTTGCTTTACATGAGTGGAGACTTGCGAAGAGGCCACCGAGGCTTTGGTACCTTGCGGACCAGGATCTGATCAGAGCATTTTGTCATTGTCCGTGAGGACCCTCAGGGTATAATTAATTGATCATGTAACCTCTTAACGGCCTATGATAAGCTCAGCTTGCCATGAGTTATGTGCCATTTTGTGGTTTATGACGAGTGCACCTCATCATGTACTGCTTTGTGCCTTTTGCAAGGTTTGCAACAAGGTCAGTGAATAAAAACAGTGTGAATTATCTTTATGATAGAATAATAAATAAAAGAAACTGTTTCGTATAAGGTCTGCTTAAAAAATGTAAAGCATTATAAGGTTAATCAACAGGCGATGCTATTTTCTATTTTAAAAGAATAACAAATGTTTTCCTTCCCCGCAGGGGGCACCTGTGGAAGCAGGTGTTTAGAGAGTGGCGTCTCCACGTACCCCGAGCCCCGCAGGGGGCGCCTGCACCTTAGGTGCTAGGTGCTTGGTGAGTGGCGTCACTACGAACCCCGAGCCATGTGGGTTCGCCCACCCACGTCTGGCTGTGCGTGGCGTACCCGTGTCCGGGGAAAAGGGGACCCTGGTGGTTGAGCTGAGCCCGGGGTATGTTTGGACCCTTCGGGGCCCCCCGGGCGAGGCAATACACCACTTCGGCCTCTGCTTCTCGTAGACGGGTGTCCTGGCTTGGCCCGACCAGGATGATTCAGTCAGTCGCCTCTTCTACCCTCTTCTTCCTTCTTTCACTTTTCCTCCCACCTCTTTCTCTTTTCTTCTACATTCTCTTCCTTCCTTTTTCACCTTCTTAGGCGGCAAGGGCCAACCTTGAGTGGAAACAGGACCTGTCCCTGCAACCACACTAGGGTATAGTGCCCGGGCAGCACTGGTAGTGTAATTGTGTCAGCCAAGCCTTTCTTGCTATGGCACATTACCTACCCCCTTGTTGGGCTCCGTGGTTGGCGGTGCACCCGGGCACTGAACTTTCTTTCCCATCTTTATGGGTCTGCAAAACAAAACTTTCCTCGATCGGGCTCTGAAAAGAGTCCGCACCGAAGCACGTACACTTGAAGTTCCATTAGTATCTACTCCGCAGTATCCAAAGTTTTTGGTGCTGCACTCAGAGACTGAGAAACCACTAAGTAAACTGTCCCCTTTTCTTGTCGCAAAAACTCTAGAGGGTGTTGTGGGAAAGACCTTTCAGGCTAAGAAGATGATATCAGGTGACCTCCTCGTAGAGGTTCATACAAAGATCCAGAGTGATGCTCTACTAGCATTGAACTCAATCTCTGATTACAAAGTCACCGTAACCCCCCACCGCACACTAAATACAGTACAAGGCGTAATTTCTGAAGACGACTTATTAGAAACTCCAGAAATGGAAATCGTAGAGGGCCTCTCCAGCCAGGGTGTGATCGCCGCACGGCGCATCACACTTCGACGCGACAGCGTGGAACACAAAACAAAACACATCGTTCTGACCTTTGCAATGACCACCCTTCCACAAGCTGTCAAGGCAGGTTACCTGCATTGCCGCGTTCGGCCATACGTACCGAACCCGCTGCGCTGCTTCAAGTGCCAGCGGTTCGGCCACGGCTCACGGAGCTGCCGCGGATCTGACACGTGTGCGAGGTGCTCTAGCAAAGAGCATCTCGCAGATCACTGTGAGAACAAACCAAAGTGCACCAATTGCGAAGGGAAGCACGCTGCATATTCTCGGTCTTGTTCTCTCTGGAAGCAAGAAAAAGAAATACTTACATTGAAAGTCCAAGAGAACATTCCATACCATGAGGCAAAGAAGCGTGTCTTGTTTGCCTCACGTGGTTCATATGCAGAGGCCGTGCACAGGGGACCTGCACGGCCGATGGTGTCCACGGGGACGCAGACATCTTCTGATGACCTGCGTGTCCCGTCGGGGTCCCCCTCCACCTCGGGAGTGGTGCGGCAAACACCGCCTCCGAGCACTAGGAAAGATGTGGGCGTGCCCACACCCAGTAAAGAGCAAGGCTTGGCGACCCTTGCTCCTCGCACTGCTCTGCCCCCCAAAGGACGGGGTATGGCACCCCGCCCTTCTGGTACCCAGACGATCCCTGGCCTGCCAACCAAGCCAGCGACATCCAAGGGTCAGCCATTGGCGACAACCACCGACGAGCCAATGGATCAAAGTGGGCTCAAGTCCGACGAGGACAGGTCCATGTCAGGGTCGGAGTGTTCCCTTCCCGGCACTGGTGGATCCACCAGTGAGCAGAAGGGTGCCACTAAAAA